GAACTCGACAAATGTTGCTCAGATGCACAGAGAAATTGTCAGCGCCAAAGATGTTGACTTTGAGATCCCACTGCAAAGAAAAATTGTGGCTTTGAAACTTGCGTTGATTTCATATTCAGTATGAAAACAGATGAGTAACCCAATAACAAGATTGTTTCCGTACCTGGACAGCTCCATTGCATATCGAAGCTTGTCATCCAAATCTCCCAAATACACACTAAGCCACGATCTATGGACGAAAGGAGGAGACAAGAAAAGTCAAGAATGTCTAAAGTTGACTGAATGCGCATATGGCGTATGACTTCCGGTGCCCAGCTGATGCAACACGTAAGTATTGTTCTCCATAGACAAATCTAGTAAAAATTCGCCTGTGAGAGAATGAAATGCTTGGTGAACTCAGGGTCCGAAATTAAACTTATGACCAAGTGTGTACTGCAGGGACGCTTTAATCAGCGCGTTAAACGCGTGTCACTGTAGAAATAGATTTATTGGGACGATATTAAATGTGCGGTATGAAAAAATAGCGCTGTGTACGTGATTGGAAAAAGATGTAATAGACTCGAAACGTCTGCAAAAAGGCTGAAAAGAGTACCACTGCCACCTACTTCTAGTTAGGAGTGGCCGCAAAAATCGTTTCGTGCGATTCCACTTAAGCGAATTTGATTGTAGCATCGCTTCGCTCTCCTATTGCACCTCCATTCACTGTCACTACGATTAGCTAAAATTTTTTACTTGGCAATTAATCGCTGTCTTTGTAAGCAGCAGCCAACAAGTGTAGAGGCTGGAATAAGCAGTAGTTACATGAAAACTGGACCGACACTCCATTGTAGAACGAGCTATGAGAGGTTGCCGTGGCTAGTGGAGCAGTAAGCTAAGACGAAACAAGAGCATGCATGATCGCTAGTTTTACACTAAAAGCACCTTTAATGCAAAGTTTGCAATTTGCGGGTGTGCGTGTGGCGCAGTGGTAGAAGGCGCCCTGCGAAACGCACAGATTGGTCCGCCCGCCCATTCTTCACCAAACCTTTCATCTCTCCAGGATCGGTAAATTGGTACTAGATTTGTCTGGGAGGATAGCAACAATGGATCAATACATCGGTGGGCCACCGCGAGTCATTGTAAAGATCAGACTTGCATTCAATCTACTCCAACAATGCTTAGTGAACTCGAATGCATGGCACTTCTCTCGGGGATTGATCAACGCCGAAAGCTTTATCCTTTATCCTTTTTGTAATTTGCACTGAGGAATTATTTTCCAAGGGTACATTGTTAATGGAGAACGAGTGACATAGTGGCATTAACGCCTTTTACCTATTTTTTGTATTTATTATTTATAAGATGACTCGGCATCACATGTATCATACGGTGTGCATCAGAGCACTCCTTGCATGAGCTTGTCCCACACAGCTATGATATTTTCCAGCACGGAGGATTAGCCCTGGCGAGCACGAGGCGGGGTAGAGCCAGCGCCGAGTGGACGTGGCCTTCCGCGTAATGAGCGATATCATAACCACTGCGCTGCTCGCCCTCTTATGCCACTCATTGCGAGCGAAAATTTAACCATCGGGCGCTGGCTTTATTCTGTTCCCATCTCACCAAGCACTTCAATCTTTTGGTGTGGAAAAATTGGTACCAGATCTGTCTGGAGTCAATTCACTTCCTCCAGTTTGCGTGGGAACGCCATACCATAACTATTCCAGGGTTCCAGTGGCAATTCAGTCGACTGGGATTCAACGGCGTTTATAAGAAAAAACATCAAGAAAAGTAAAAATCCTCTGCACACAAATTCGGAGATCTTCGTGAGTGATGTGCGCTAGGGAAACGACTCCTATGGAAGATGTGCTGGAATGTGTCAAACAAGTCATATGCGGTGTTGTAAAGAAAGTCACTTACAGTTTTTAGTCTCCAATCAAATCGGACAGACAAGAATATTGCAGCTTTTAAGATATCCACTGCTATTTCTTCGATGTAGAGGCTATTTATATCTTTGTAGACAAGTCACTTCTATTCCTTTCTTGCATTTACATATAGGCTTAGTTTGAAGATCACATTGCAACAACAAAATTCCCACTTGCCAAACAGCCCAATCGCTAGCCAGTGGACCAGCCGATATGTCCGATCTGTGGATCATTTCGTTACGGAAGGATAAGTGGGCACTCCATGGTACCTCGAAGTGTTTTAAAATGCTTTAACATTTGCGGTAACGTGTCTTCGATATAAGGTATAGATAAATGGACCTTGTGGCTGGTCCGATCTATACAATAGTCACTTTTTTCTGATTTTCTTTAGCACACACGGCCCTTTTTCTGCAGTTCTTGTAACCAATCAATTGCTTATCCAACACATGTGGTGGCGGCCCTTGGCCGCGTAAATATCTATCTTTCATCTAGAAATACACAAAAGACCTCTCCTTGAACTTTTCATTGACTGGTGTTTTGACTTCCATTTGGTGCCATATGATTTCCAATCACTGCAAAGTATGAAAAGCGTAGAAATCGACGCAACATAAGTTGCAAAGTACTTCTATCCTAACTAAACGTTACACATTAAATACTGGTGGGCGGTAGCAACACTATTAAATATTAAAATATATGCCCCTAGAACAATAAAGTCTTTTCTATATTAGTGCTATGTTCTCAACCTCCAAAGTTCACTAGAAGTATCGTCTATTGTCAGAAAACCAGCAACTCCGTAACGCCTGAGAATTAAGCGTCGTCATGAATGTGTCAATATGTCTAAAATTTTTCACTACTTTCGTGTTAGCTTAATAGTTCGAGAGCAAAGTGTTAATGTTTCGTTTAAGAATTACAAGAGAACGTCTGCATTTAATCGTGAATGGAAGTAGACGACCGCTTCGTAACTGCAGAACTAAGTGTGATCTCTGAGTGCTACCAGATGTGTGTTAATTTCGTAAACAATGGCTGTTGATATCAAGAGGTTGAGTTTGGATCATTGGAGGTCTAGCAACTGCAAGAGGTGGCTCTGAGAGCAAGCTCTCCGTAAGCGGTGAGTTTTACCTCTTTCTATAACGCCTTTAGACCTCGAAGCTGTTGGTCTTTTTACAGATCTTTTTTCAGGTGTTGACAACAAAAAGCTTTGAAACCAAGTGAGCCGCCTTTTCTGCTTCGTTTTAAAGGTGAAGCGTAGACGACGAGAAATGACTGAGTGAGTATGTGTTCTTTTGTTTAGTGTGAAGTCATAAGAAAGGACGGATAGTTTAGAAAGACATGAACACAGTTCAACGCTCACAGAAGCAGTGTTGTCACAATTTGATTATGCAGTAGAATAAACATCGATAATGGAATAATGTTTATCAGTTTCGAGTTTTAAAAACTACTAAACGAAGACGATTTATTCGCCAGTTTTAGATGCTGTGGTGCTTCTTTCCTTATTATACAAAAATACAAGAAAACTCCAAATAACTTCACCAAATAAAAGCTAATGAAGGATAAAGCTTGGCGTTGATGAATCCCTGAGGGATGAGCCATGCATTCGCACCACAGCTTCATTAAGGATTGTTTGGAGGTGATTGAAAAATGCATATCTGGCCTTTACATTGACTCACGGTGGCCAACCGATGTATCGAGCCAGTGGTGCTATACTCCCAGACGAGCCCGTTACCAATTTGCTGATCCCAGAGAGATGGAAGGGCTGGTGAGCTCGGAGCGCGGATCGATTAAGCGACTGATCCACCTGCTATCCACCCGGACAACTCTGGAACAAATTTCTTAACTCCGAAGGGATTGAAGGCTTGGTGGACCACGGTCGCGGGGATCGATTCCACATGTGTGTTGCAATGCTCCTCCGACCATAGCGCCACACGCGCCCTCTTATTTTACTAAAATATGTGATGAAATACCCATAATAACTTACGCAGCTTAGACTCATCTTGCAGCAGTCGTTCTATGCAACGCTGCCACATCCGCTGCTTTTTAGCGTGTCTTCGACAGCAGACCGCTTTACTTTACTGCATTTAGCTATCGGTACTTGCTGGCCTTAGCTTAATAATCTTAGAAATCACAAACAAAGCAGCTCTTGGTCAGCTACCTGTCCACCAGCTGAGGAAAGATCCGTGGTACTGGTTTAGCGTGGCTAATGCTTGAGCTTATAAGAACGATTTCATTAGCCAAGCAAAGTTGGTGTAGCTGCTAATTATAGTTTTTCGTTCTAACACTGAGTCATTGCACTTTCTCCTATTATATTTTAGTGAGTGGCTGGAAATAGTTTGGGCGAAACGGTATCCTCTTGTCGAACCCCTGTTTTTACGTCGACGTCGGGAATCATGATTGAAATCTGCTGTAAAGATCACAAAGAATATTAACTTACTGAATAGAGATGGTCCGGAACAAAACGTTCGCGGTTTTTTGCTTTTGTCCTCTTCTTAACGTATAACACTTAGGATGTATCGTGTGCTATACATGCTTGAGGGAGACAGAGCAATTGCATAGCATCCACTGTACTGGGAAGTAGACGAAGAGCATTGCACTTGCTACTTTACCTTTTTCAGAGGTTTATTTTACCACACAGAGATTTCTTCTATGATTGCTGTGGCAAAAAGATCGATAGAAATAGCCGAGAGACAGGCGAAAGGAAGGACCCGCATGGTGTGGTGGTGAACGCGTTACTCCCCTGAAAGGACAATAGCGCGTTCGTTCCCCACCATAGACACCTGCGGTCCAGAGTTTTGCAAATATCTCAGCAACGTTGTGGTTGTGTTTCGCTTAGTAACCAGCTATGAAAATTTTAGAAGACAAAAAACAAAACGTTAAAGACTGTAGAGAGTTTTGAAAGCTACTCAAAGCTTCTGCAGAAAATAGGTGTGACAGCGATGCAGTAGCTTACACAAAAAGCACATAATGGGAAATGCTGAAGAATGTTTGCAGCTGGCAGGTGCTTATTGATTGGCCGAACTGTGGGGGGAGGAAGAACAATTACAGAATTCCTTTCTCTACAGCTGCGCAGCCAGTGCATGAGATGGTCGCTAAGAAACAATCAGCAGAACGTGCAAGGATAGATGTGTGATGATTACAACTAAACAGTTAATATAGGAAACTAAAGATGATATAGAAATAAGAACTATTCGACGAATGGTTACTAAAGCATCGTCATAGGTTGGGTACTGGGTTGTTCAAGAGCATACATGGAGCTTATGCGGCAGTGACACCCTCTAAGCTCAGATGAGCCCGATAAGTACAAGGTCCTGCTAGTCCGAGTTTCCCCATCGAGGAACATGTCACGTGGCCTGGAAATCAACCGGCTCGTGAAGAAGATCAGTGAATAACATTTGTCTACCTTCGTAATCTCTTCAGTCCTTGTTTATTATTTTCACTTTGTGCACGTTTTGTTAAATATTTTCCCACAATTTGGTCTATTGTCCTAGGTGGTAAACACTCCAACTCCTTCACGGCTTTTTAGTTTGTCGAATCTTTTAGATAATTTTGTTAGATGATAGATGAGATCTCTTATGAATGTGAACGAAGGCCAGAGATCTCTGAATTCTCGTTTACCTATGAGAAGTTTTGAGTTGAAATACTCTTTATTTCTAGGCCAAAATCTCAGTCCGATACAAAACAAGGTTAGTTGACACATTTTGTGAAATTGGAATAGCGCGTCATGCTTCTCACCTAATTGCTCTGCCATTTCTATAAACAGCTCTTATAATAAAAGCAGGAGACAAGTCACAAACTTCTATATCTTCGTATCTTGTGGTAGCAATAAGTGGGAAGCAATGAGTTTTCCACCTCACATTGCAGTTAATAGGAAATGGTTGTGATCCTCATTTCATATCTTCTAATCTCAGCTCGTTATGTTCGCGCCAGAGAAGATTTGCGTTAAACACTTACGGTGTAATGTAACGTTTTTGGCGGATTTGGATGCAACTTTGAATGGTTCAGCTCACGAAGTCGAAGAAGACAGAGGGAAGTGGGGTAACAAATTTGAATTTGTCCTGGCAAGTGTCGGACTAACTGTCGGTTTGGGAAACATATGGCGATTTTCAGCACTGGCTTACGAAAATGGTGGAAGTAAGTGATATTAATAAGATTGAAGGCAAGAACTATAAGGCTTTTGCGTTTCGATATATGTTTATGTGTACTCATTCAAGGTGCATTTCTTATTCCATATATTGTTCTGATAATATTATTTGGGCTGCCAACAATGTTTCTTGAAATGGCAATCGGTCAGTACACGAGCAGTGGTCCGTCGATGGTCTTCAAGCACTACATGCCAGCCTTACAAGGAATGTGTTGTCGAGTATCTGTTTTGGCGAAAATACAGACGTGTGCGCGATGTTCTAAACCAGTTCTGCTTACATCTGGATTCTGTTGAAGATTATTTCAGGCATCGGATGGTCGATGGCTTGTATAGCGGCTACGGTTTGCATTTACTATTGCGTAATAGTTACGTGGAGCATCCTATATTTATTTTTCTCCTTTTTTGACGGGATATTACTATGGGAAAGTTGCAGTAATGAATGGAATGATATATGTAAGCCAAAGTTCTAAAGCACCTGACCGGACCTCTTTCTCGGGACGGTTAAAGTTGAGAATGGTGAAATATGTCAAATTTCAATTCTACAGACTGTATAGTGAGGAGTAAAATGGAAGAATGCAAGCGCCTGAACCCTAGTCGCCCGATTGCCTTCAATGGGACCTGTGTTCCAACAGTGCCGTGGCCGATGAGAACTCCTTTCGATCAATACTTCACGTGGGCTCTTTTTTTGAAGATTTTTGTTGATATGAAATGGGCACAAATTTTTTATGCTGAAACAAAAGGAATTCGTTAGGTTTTTCCAATCACCATGATGTTTAAAGCATTTTGTGACAGGTTTTATCCTCTTTATTGGAACCACTAAAGTTCCTTCCTCTTTCTTAGGGAAAAAGTTTGCACTTCAGGAAATCTAGTCTGGTCACCAACCACTACACGCTTAGCATTCAAGTTCATATTTGGAAATGTTTGTTTTCAGCGAGAGCTACTTTTCAGAAATGTCATAACGAGAAGATCCCAAGGAATTGAATATATCGGCGGGATTAATTGGTCACCGTTTTTAACACTGATGGCAGTGTGGGGGCTCGTATTCTTAGTTCTGATAAAAGGACAAAAGTACTTGGGAAAAGTTGCTTATGTAAGAGCTATAATTTTCTATGAACTCTGTTCTAGCCCAAAATTTATAAATGTTCTTCAGTTCACGTCTACATCTCCGTATCTTATCATTGCTATGCTTTTCTTTCGTGCAATAACGCTAGAAGGTTCCGGTGAAGGATTGTACTACTACATGGGGAAACCAGATTTTTCTAAGCTAACTGAGCATCAGGTTGTATATCCACTTTTATATTCTTTCTTTACATGTTTGATCTTAGAATCTGAATACATTGGACACTTCCTACTTGATGCTTACTTAATGCTTGAATGGCCCGTTCTCACTGGTTGTGCGAGCCCCAGCTTGACCAACATTTTTCGGAGGTTTGCTGGTTAAGCCACTATGGTTGCGTGGAATCCCGAGGTCAGCTTGGCCAAAGTCTGCTCCAGATCTTCACCGCCACAGGCAGTCGCAGCCGTTGTGGATCAGAGAGAGATTTGCCACCATGCGACTTTCATACCAGGATGGTGGTGGATCCGGCATTTGTTTACTCTTAGCAAGGTTTCCTGATGGAAACGCCGGATTCCTTCTCAGCTTGCGAGACCCTGCCAGGGGGATGAATCCTTCCGCTGTACATCGCAGTCCAACACCTAGGAACAGCTCCCAGCCATGGTGAGACTGTAAACCGTTGGGAGAATTGAACACTTCAAGACTTCGAATAGGAGGACTTATAGAAACGTTAGCATTGGTCAGAAAATAGATTCGGGCAGTAAATGTGATTTTTCTTTCCTTTTACAGACATGGTCGGCAGCACTCGTCCAGATATGCTTTTCTATAAATATCGGCTATGGTTCCGTTATTATGCTCGCGTCGTACAACAAACGAAATAACAACTGTTTTGCGGTCTGTACCGGTGTCATTAGTATCATTTTGACAGAAACTTTGACAATCTTGTTGAGCTATGCGTGATGCTGTATAAACGACTTTTAAATGTGGTTGGGATGGGCGGCGGATAACACAGTGGTAGTGATGCTCGCCATCACAAGCATGGTGCTAGCTCGACTTCGTCTTGGGCCAACCAAGACCCTTATTCCTGCGATGTCGGGAAATTGGTACCGGACTTGTTTGGGAAGAAGTCACTCTCTGCAGTCCAATTAGGAACGCTCCAGCTCGGTTATTTCAGGACTCCAGGGAGAATTGCTCTAGCAGCATTCTACGACATTGAAAATGAAATGCAAAGCTCAAGCAGCAGCCGAAGACACACGTAAAAGTTGGAAGATCTTCGTGGACATTGGGGGCTGGGGGCGAGAAAACGAATTGAATGTGAGAAGTGCTGGGATCCGCACGGTAGACGTGAAGACGAGTCATATAGAATAAAAATAAATAAATAAACATAGTGCTTCGTAGTGTTTCCGTAGTCGACTATCGCTATCTTAAAATTAGCTGTGCAAGCGGTTATAGGTGCGTCGTTATGGTACAGTCTGTCTGTTATATTACTGTGAACCTCCACCGAGTTAAAAAGGCGTTCTCTTAAATCATATTTAGGATGCATGGATCGTTGTGGCGGCTGATTTACTCATGAGTGTATTCGGTGGTGCAGCAGTGTTTGCTACGCTTGGTTACCTTTCTCATGAACTACAAGTACCCATTGATGAAGTGGTTTCTAGCGGTTTGTGATCTACATGTTTGTTATCTATTGTCCCAGAACTCTCGGACTGACTATAACTGATTTCTTGTAAAGTTCATTCTTCGGGTGAAGTGTTGCATAATCGCAAACATTTAGTATGTTATCTTAGTCTATTGCAGCTGTTAAACCCTGATTTTGGTTGGTTGGAAATTAATGTGTTACATTTGCAGGCAAATTGTTTCTAAGCGCTACCAATGTATAATTCCTTGTGCTTTTGTGGAATTCAGTTGTATCCGCTTTTTTAGGGCACTCGTTGGCTTTCGTAGCATATCCAGAAGCGATTTCAAAGATGCCGTATCAGTCAGTTTGGTCCGCACTTTTCTACTCCATGCTTTTCCTCCTAGGTTTCAGTTCAGAAATTGGTGGGTTAAGATGACTTGTTTGCCGGAATTTAGCACTACTTTTTCCGCTCATTTAAGCATTCACGGAGACATTCTGCACGAGTATCTACGATCAGTGGCCATCTACACGTAGTTATAAGTGGCTTGTATCACTATCTTGTTGTGTCGTTTTTTTTGCTTGCGGCATAATATTAACCACTGAGGTGAGTCTACTATTGAACAGCGCTAGGGACTGTTCTTCTTGATAAGCATTAAAGCTGCTGCTATACGTATTCGAACCATATCTATGTCCCATCAATCAGAAACAAAATAGTTGCAGATCAGAATGGCTGAGCTGATTTTGTCGTGAAGCCTACCTATTTATTCCCCCTTTTCATTGTTACCACATGAAATTTCAAAGCTTGCTGCTTGGCATTCTTGCTATACAATGGGCCCCAAAATTATTCAACACTTAAAGATTACAAGGATTTAAACTGGTATAGAACCCAAAGCATGAAAACTATATTGTTTTGCTTCATAACTGCAGAACTAGACGTGGAGCAACGTTGGGAAATTGAAATCGTATCCAAGCATATGTCAAACAAATAGTTCTCAACGCATGATGCGCGGATGGTTAAGGCTATTTAACACCCTCACGACCACGTCTAATCTCGGTTTTGTTGCGGAGTGGCCGACGCTCAATTTGTCGCTGTGCTTGCTGTGAAACCTATGGATGTCATACCGGCGACTTCGGCAGTTTTTATGCAGCTCGTTGCGGTTTCTGTGCTATAAATCGGTTCTTCTCTGCATTTTGAAGAAATTTCTGCGTCTCTCTAATCGTTCGCACGTTCCACTGAACACTCTCATGTTTTTGGTGTACATACAATTCTTCTGTGTGGAAAAGGAACAGTCGTCCACTATCCAACGATACTGCTATCAACATGTAATGATGTTCTACAAGTTACACACACAAGTTGCAATACTTAATTCAAATTAAAGGTTTTTGCACCAAGCCTCTATTTCTACTTGCAATCAACAGTTTTGAGGAAACCTGTGGCACTGTTGTATATTCGGGTCCATCAAGACGGCTACGTGTTAGCGAGCTAGGGGGATGTCGATGCATTCCGGGATACTTTGTCCTATTTTCAACTCTTATTCTCATAATAATCCATTGATTTTATAGATATCACATTTAAAACAATTTGTTTTCACCTTCTCTACTCCATTCTAGACATCCTTTAAAATATTAAAATATACATATCCTAGAGCATCCATATTTAGCACTCGTCACATATAATATACGTGTGCTATACAGTGCAACCACTGCTATTTACAACTTACAAGTCTTATACACCATTTACTAACTAACCTTACAACCTTGCATCACAACCATTAACAATCTTTAAACATATTTGGCAATCACGGGTGCGTGTGGCTCAGTGGTCGAAGGCGCTCTGCAATAGAGATTAGATGGCTGACTTCCGCGCCCTTGGCCCACCAAGGCTTCCATTCCTCCGGGGTCGGCAAATTATACCAGGCTTGTCTGGGAGAATAACACAACTGACTTGATACGTCGTTGGGCCACCGCGAGTCATTGTAAAGGCCAGATATGCTTGCAGCCACCTCCAACGATGTTTAATGAAGTCGGATGCATGGCGGATCTCTCAGGGTTTGATCAACGCTGATAACTTTTTCATTGAAGACTCCGGCTCAATTGTTGGACTGGAATAAAACACTGAAGCATTTTCAAGGTCGAATTACCACAGTATATGGATGAAATTGTAATAAATTCGTCGTATGTATGCAGATATGGCTGGAAAAAATGTATACTTGAATTAGTTGTGCTGCTAAGCTCTGCTTCGCCCACCACTTTTGTCGGACCTTGCGTTAATTAACTGCCATTTTCTCAAACCATCTCAACTATCTCAAAAGCTGTTGCCTCAGAAATCTTCAACAGGCAAGTGTTCTCAACCGCTGTTGACATCGAACAAATCGTCTCTTCAAGAATTTCAAGTTACTGGGAGGCGCAAATTTGTATTTTTAAAGCGACTTCCATTAAACCTTCGTAAAAGCAATCAATACCTTCTTCTACTATTCGGCTAATCCGAGGTTGATAAAAAGACTTATTCAAAAAACGTTTCAGCGTCTTCGCTTTTTTCAGAGCACGAACTAATTCTATTCGATGGTCCACAGGTGGTCATCCTCGCAATATGCACTCTTCGTTGTCGCATCGAGTTGAATCCAGTGAAGGGAGCACCTATTGAGTGAAGAATCTCCCTCGGTGGTTCCATTCTATATAAGATGAATGTTCATCTATTGCCGCCATCCAATATGATCTGTATTTTTGGTGGCAGTGCGTTCTGGAGCGATCTCTGAGATTGAGGAGAGTGAAGTTAATGGATCGGTGCTTCACTTCAATGGATTCGACTCGATGCGACAACAAACAACCACATTTTGAGGATAAGCACATTGCGACCATCGATTCGGGTTATTGAGGCTATGAGGAAGACGAAGGCGCCTAGGCGTTAGCGGAATAGATCTTTTTTTAAACTAACCTCATTCTAGCTTAACGACAGAAGAGGGCATTGAATTTGTATCTTGTTGGAAAAAATGTCTAGATTCCAATGGATTTACTTCGATTAATAAAGCTGTAATTAGTCTGAGTTTCTAAACTCCTGATTTAAAATGAACAATCCGAAACCGCTACAGCTTGAACTACACCAGAACCGTGGTTAACTCTGTTCTATTAATGATGAAACGTCGTGTTTGCTCATTAAGAAAAAACTTGATATTGAATTCACTTAAAATATATGCTTTTAGAGCGGATTTTTTTGGTTCACCATAGTCGACGAGTTTTGTGCTTCAACAGCTGTGTGTGTTGTGATAATCATGGAGCAGCTTATAATTATATATGCTTACGGTGAGCGAGAGGAACAACGGAACATTCTATCCGAGAAAGAATAGAAAACGAGAAATTTATGTCTTGCACCAAATATCTCGAATTTTTGTTAATCAGATGTTTCTTGAACAGAAATCGATTCCTTAACTGGTTTCCGTTACTGAAAACGAAAAGTGAAAGATTCAAATATTTGCTATAATAGTTTTTGGGGCTTTGATTGTTTTTTGTGTTTCTTCACCATTGATGAAATATGTTGGAATGCAGTAAGAGCTAAAGATAAAGCTCCCGGCGTTGATCAATCGCTGAGGGATGCGCCATGCATTTGACTTCATTAGGTACCGTTTGGAGGTGTTTGAATGCATATCTGACCTTTACAATGATTCGCGGTGACCTATCGATGCACTGAGCCAGTGCTGTTATCCTCCCAGACAAGTTTGGTATCAATTTGTCAACCCCGGAAGGATGGAAGGCTTGGTGGGGCCATAGGTGTGGGAATCGATTCCACGTGTGTGTTGCATGGCGTCTCCGACCACTGTCCTACATGTGCCCTTGTTGGAATGCAGCATATTCAAGAAATATGTTCAGAAAAGTAAAATAACTAGCCACTAATGCATGCAAGTTAGCCAATATCGAGTAATTGCTTTACCATATTATTGTTCCAATTGATTATGCTGTAGAAAAGTGACTTGCACATATATGTTGGATTTTCAACTGGTAGTTTCTTGCATTCCGAAGTCGTCATCTCTGTTTACCTTTCAGGATATAGCAACCTTCGTAACGACATCATTGAGATGCTGGGCATGTCGGGTGAAAGAAATTCACCTCTTTTCGGACCGTTGTCACCTTTGTGGCAGTTCTGTTGGATGATTACGACCCCTATTCTGGGTTTGGTTGGCATTTTTCTTCCTCGCAGCTTCTTATCTCGGAAACTGTTTCTCTTATTTTGAACAGTTCTTTTTAACCAATTTTCTTCACCAATTTTTCAGAGCTTCAATATTAAGCGGATCTAATTCAGGTAGTATTGATTTTCACGCTTATGCGGCACGAAATATCCGTAGAGACTAGCTATGGGCGCTACGCATTCCCCGATTGGGCTGTAGTGAGTTTAGGGCAATTTTTAACGGAACTGATTTTAATGCTTACTTTCGTTGAAAATTTCTCCCGTGTACAAAATTCTTGCATTTAGAAATTTGGATGGTTTTTGGGTCTTTCTCCTCTTTGTGCTATTCCTTTATGTTTCGTAGTGAACTTTCTTGAGTGGACTGGAAAAGGAATGGTTGGTTTTCTATAGCCTTTGCAATGACAGATGTTTATATCACTATTTTCAGCCGCTCCGTACGTTATTCACTATACAACCTACATTGCCGTCATACAAACGAATAACAGGAGAATCGCTGCCACATGGTGTTGGTGTAATCGAATCCACACCAGGCACAACTTCCGAGTCCACACCAATTACCTCTACACCATCCATATCAAACGCCGTTACGCCATCCATGTCATAGACGTTTGTGGGGTAGAGCAAGGTCTCCTACCATGAGCATCAATGTTGAGCATTACCGCATTGCAACTACGTTTTCGTCTTACTTTAATAATGGAATGTGTTCATGCTTAGCAACTGAAGTCACACAATTCCATCGCAGTAAATTTGTTTCTTGGTTTGATTTAGCGCAGCACAAAACACTTGCAATTGACATACTAAACGTCGATTACACAATGGCCAGTAGGACAAGCATTCCTAAAACCAAATCGAAGAAAATCCAATCGATGAGTTGCTTTGATTTGCAGTTATCTTGTCACTATTATCTCCCCAGTTCCCCTAGTTTATGCAAAGGTTCCGTTGCAAAAAAACCGAGACGTTGACCATTCGAATGTTATGTTAGTACTAAATGTATCATACAGGTGATAGAAGAACAAATCAACAGCATTGGTTAATATCTTCGCTGAATGCTGATAGAATCGTTTGTTCCTGTTCCCAAACCACCCTGCAAGATTCTTCGTATTTTTGTTGAGCAAACGCGAGGTGTTACTATTCTTTATTCACGAATAAGCTGACGTTTCGGCGGATTTCGCCTTCCTCAGAGCCTGGAAAGGTCAAGTTGATAGCAATCTACCCGGCCAGACGCCTCCATAAGCAAACAAAGAAACTCTAAGCCAAGATTTCAATTACATTGAACACAGCTTTACACACTCACCGCTTTCTATGAGGTTTCCACTAAGTATGTCACGTAGAGACCAACCACACAGAAATTAATGGAAGCATGGAGTGCCCCTCCCATCAGAATACCAGTCTTATATACTGCCCTATATCACGCGTGATAATGAGGCATTCTTCCCTGCAGTTCATTTTCCGATTTCTGGAATTAATTCAGAGTGCCTCGAGAGTTTTTCGCGCCTGTGTTCTTGATTCGCGTGCGAGGATCGTCACAGAGGGGTCTGCCCGTTTCGCCAATGTATTCGTCACCGCACGTCTTACAGGAGATCAGATGAACTATACCTGAGCTCATGCAATTACCGTCTCTACCACTGGGGCAAATTATGCAATTTTGAGTTGTACATAGACGGTCACATGGGCGGTTACGAACTAGTTGGCGCTTAATATTACTCGGTGGTATTTCAACTATGCTTACCGAATTCTCTAAGCCCGCCCTTCTTAAGCAGCGTTTTATAGCTGTACTTATATCATTTGAGATGAAGGCTAGGATAAACGGGACCCTTCTATCGCTAGAGTTGTCGTTTGGAGGCCTACGATTTCCTCTACACCTATCCTGAGCTACAGTTTCGTAGCCATTAGAAATGGCTATTTGCCGTGCCAAGTTCCGGGACTCCTCTCTCTGCTCTCTTCCCGTGCACACGTTGGTTGCTGTTCGAAACATGTTTCTTATAAGCGCCCTTTTCTTGTGAGAGGGGTGAGAGGAGAGGTAATGAACCAAGATGTTTTTACTACTTGGTTTTCGGTATCACTTTTTAATGTAGCCATTTTCTGATAGGTGGATTTCTACGTTTAAAAATGGAAGCCATTTTTCTTTCGGCTTTTCTTGGGTGAACTTGATATACTCTGACTGTGCGTTTAACAATTCGAAACATTTGTCCATTTTCTCTTGTGTTAAGCAAAGGACAAAGCAGTCGTCTACATACCTACAGTAGAGTAGCGGCCCGAGATCAGTCACCGGTGCTTCCACTTTAGACATAAATGTAATGGCAAGGCTTGGAGCCAGTCGTTGTCCCATTGCCAACCTTCTTACTTGAGCGTAGTACTTTCCGGACCATCTGAAGATTGAGGAGCTCAAGCACTCTTTTAAGAGTGCCATCAGGTGCTCTATCTTGAAGCCATACATGTTTATTTCTCCTTCGTGTTGTGCAAGGAGTTCGAATATGGCTTGCATTGCGGAGTCATTCGACACGTTTGTATAAAGGTCGGTAACGTCGAAGGACTCCATTACGTACGCGCTGTTAGGCTGCGCAATACATAGACGATCCAGAAACATCTGGGTATTCGTAAGATGGGCTGGAATATGTTTCAACAACTGGTTAAATATTAGGGTTAAAAACCATGTTATCTTGTCCGTTGTTTGTTCGTTCGTTTGTGTGTTACATGTATGGCTTCAAGATAGAGCATTTGATGGCACTCTTAAAAGAATGCTTGAGCTGCTCAATCTTCAGATGGTCCGGAAAGTACTACACTCAAATAAGAGGGTTGACAATAGGACAACGACTGGCTCCATGTGTAAAGCTGTGTTCAGTGTGATTGAAATCTTGGTTTAGAGTTTCTTTGTTTGGTTATGGAGGCGTCTGGCCGAGTTGATTGCTATCAACTTGACCTTTCCAGACTCTGAGAAAGGCGAAGTCCGCCGAAACGTCAGCTTATTCGTGAGTAAAGAATAATAACACCTCGCGTTTGCTCAACAAAAATACGAAGAATTACTTGATCAATGCCGAGGTTAATAGAAAGTCGGTCGTGGGAGCTCTGCAGTATTCCAATCCGTTTTAAATAGTTAATCGAAACAAGCGCTGTGCTAATATAAATGAAAGAGCTCGTTCATATGATTATTGGAGTAGAATGAGATATGAAGCAGAATTTTCCACAGAAAACGGAATGACATTGGAGATTACCCATGATCTTCCTGAAACGAAGCGGGAAGTGCGTTGTGTTACAAGTGGAATAATGAAAGGTTACTATATTCTATAATGTTTGGTGCCAAGATATTGCAGCTGCGTCCTTACGGTTAAAGGATTTCCTTTGTCAGTGATCACCGTTGTGTAGTTGTAAGAACTGAGTCGTTGCGCAAGACAGGAAAAGCAGTCATTGCTAGGATTGGTGTAGTTCTCTAAACCTTGCATGTTCCTTGGGTACGGCGTAATTCTCTACCTCTTGAGGTACTTCACAAATTTGTATTTATGCCCTCCTTGTTTTGTGTTCTTCAAATGGTCTTTTTTACTTGTACAAAACGTCCTTTCTTTACTTGGTTTTTATGTTGTTTATATATTTCAAAATTTCCTTATATTTTGGACCGGCTCTATCAGACTGTGCTGACTGAGAAACGCTTTACGACGAGCAATAACTCCATTTCTCTGTAGCGACTTCTACCACCCATATCACATAAGGCATAAAAATCGTGGTCGTATTTGTAGACTGTATACCTTTCTTATCCATTTAATCCATGTTTCTGCAATTATTATAAGAGAATAGTTGGAGTTATTTGCATGTTTTCATTGGTGATTTCGTTGTTGTTGTACTATTAATAGGTACTCCAAGGGTTTAATTATAGTCAATGTTTCACTTTTGTATGAAGATTCTGCCATGCGGGTCTTCTTGATTCGCCGCAGTACGCCAAATCTCAAATCTGGGTAACTAAACCGTTTACAAACATAATATTTGTAGGGCAATAATGACGTGAATTTAGAAGTGTATATACAGCAAGTTTGTTAGGTAGATAGAAATTTCCATTTGATAGAGGAATTCTCTATAAGTTGCACTCATAACAGCACGCGTGAGTAGCCTTTCTGATCAATATGGCGTCTGTTTAGGTTGATCTTCATTACTACTTTAGCTTTTTCCACCGAATTATTAAAACATTCTTGTATAAAATACGTCCAGGCTCTGAGGAAGGCGAGATCGCCGAAACGTCAGCCATCGACCAACAACACCAACAACAACGACAACAACAACTAAGGCTTATACCAACCTCGCACTGGCTAAACAGGATCATTTTATAAGATCGCATAAATACGTATATTAATGAAGTTTGATGCATTTACAATTCTCCAAATGTCCTAAATGGCAGAAACAAAGATCAACAGGCAACGGCTATCGGTTCGATATAAGCTGTCCAGCCGTTTCATTCAGCTTATAATCTTGGTTATACGGAATGGGGCAGTATTAAGTAAAACAAGGTAGTAAGTTTATTGTGCTGAATTGGTATGACAGCATTTATTACATGTCTATACACGTAATATTCAATATCACACAAAAATGTGGTTGCAGTGCAGTAATTAACCATGCTGATTCTCATGAAATCTTTGCCGAATTCGTTTTTGACCTTTCACATTGTTTGCTGACTCTGATCTGACTTGGACTGGGAGCTCGTTTGCGATTTGGATTTGGATACACCACCGACTGCCGGCGATTTGCCGGTTATTCGCTGGTACGACGGCAACGTTGGTTGTATAGTAAACAACTCATGGAACGACTGAAAACTGTGATACAAACACGAATTATGCAAAAGTTACAGAAAACTAACTTTCCCTTCAACAGTGAACTGCATGCAGTTCATTACGAAGCATAACACAACTGGAATAATCGGAGAAAGGCTCAGAAACCACCCAAATGCCTAAAAGCAGGTATTATATGCAATGTTAAATGTTATGTAGAACCGGTAAAATCTTCATTAGATTAGGAATCGGACCCTAGCAAAAGAAATAAACGATAAAGCACACGGCGTTGATCAATCCATGAGGGATGCGCCAAGCATTCGATTTCATCGAGCATCGTTTGGAGGTAATTGAATGCATATCTGGCCTTTACAATGACTCGCGGTGGCCTACCGATGAATCGAGCCAATACTGCTATCCCCCCAGACAAGTCTGGCACCAATTTGCCGACCCCGGGCGATGGAAGGCTTGGTGGGCCATGGGCGCGGGAATCGAGTCCACGTGTGTGTTGCAGGGTGCCTCCGACCAATGCGTCACACGCGCCCTTAGAACTCTAGTAGCCAAATCAAACATCGAGATTTTACAAATACTTCGAACACACCACAGCCCAGCTTGGAAATATGTAGGGTCCGTACGGTGTGTCTAAGGATAGTTCGCCTTTAATTAGCGTGAAAACCATGACTGCCTAAATAATACTTTACATAACTATGTGGCCATAAAAAGGTAGTGGCAAAAATACAAAGAAATATTCAAGATATAAGAAACATATATCTTAGAGCTTTTAGCTGAGGAATTCACTTAAGTCAACGAAAGCTTCGAGAAGAGGAAAATAAGGCCACATATATAATTAAAGAAACGAGTCATCAGGCATTGAAACGCAATATCTTCTGAATTGAAACAAGTCGATTTGCATTCTCTAAAGTCAAATCCTGTAATGATAGACGAAAGAACCTACCAAACCCGAAATTGGAGCTGTGATTTTCCAAGCGTATTTCCACAACGGCGATAAAGGTCCAAAAAATGACGAATCAGTGCCAACCGGCAGGTTAAGCATCTCAATCAAGTCATCTCGAAAGTTTTGATATCCTAAAGGGTGAACAAGAACGACATGAAAAAAGAACTGATTAGGAAATTCAACACAGCTAACCCTTTGTTTACCTAAAAAGGCGAATAGTTCATAGTTCATGTCACTACTACTACTGTTGTCTCCATTAAGGGTTTTGATCTCACTTCGTACTTGATACTTGAATGGCCCGTTCTCACTGGTTGTGCGGACCCCAGCATAATCTCCACTTTTCGGTGAACTGCTGATTAAGCCATTGTGGTTCCATGGCATCCCGAGTTCAGCGTAGCCAAGGTTGCCCCAGATCTTCACCACCACAGGTAGTAGCAGGCCATGTGGATTACAGGGTGATTTGCCACCATGCAAAATTGAGACCAGGACGGTGGTGGATCCTAGTATTCGTTTACACTTAGTTAAGCTTCCTGATGGAAACGCAGGACTCATTCTTAGCTTGGAAGGCCCTGCTGTGGGGGACGAATCTCTCTTCTGTACATCGCGGCCCGGCAACTAGGAAAGCCTACCAGCCACGACGAGGCGGTAAACCGTTAGGAGGCTTTTAATTGCATTGAGATGCGCAAACGCTTTTTATTATAACTTACAGCGTCTCATTTTCCCACTATACTACTACATTTTAGAAACCATGTAATTAATATGTGGTAATTTACGGTTTCATCTCATTTATCAGAAATGTTTTTTGTGGATTAACAATTCAATGAAAGAGGTGTCATACGCGTGTTCAAGTCAGCTGTATAGTCTCTGCAATCCCAGTTAGTTGGGCACCTATTTCTACATTCTGTTAAATAAACTACGCACAAAACACTAAGTGATTGAGTGGTCCAATAATGTTGTAGTACATGTCAACTCTAAACCATGAGCTTACAGCACAATGCATTTTGATAATAATGTGGTTGTACATTTAGGTGACATTGGTCAAGCTATAAACATCAACGGTGTTCATTGTTTTTCTTGATAAGCAAGGACGAGTTTGTTATTACAGTATTTATTAACACAGAATAGCCCGCGTTTCGGCGGTTGCGCCTTCTTCAGCTCCTAGAGATGTTAACTGACATGCAACCTACTCAGCTAAACGCCTTCATAGCTTGGAACACTTACAAACAACAAAACGGTGAATGTTTAAAAAAAGTCTGTTTATAACGCGAATATGGATTTATTTATTAAGTTTTGTCTGCTGAAGTTACGAAAGTGCTTGGCTTAGTAGACTGCGTCTCAATTCGACATTTCCAGGCTCTGAAGAAAGCGAAGCCGTCCAAACGTTATTTGTTGTCAATTCACAGGTACTGTAATACCAACCTCGTGCTTGTTTATCAAGAAAAATGGCGAACTATTGATCATTGGAGAGCTAAAAGAAGGTCGGTCTTGCGTTGGACAGGGTTCTTTTCTACACCTTTCGGAATACATTATCATTTAACACATTTTTTTTCAACTGTCAGGAAAAACAATTTATTGGTGGCCTTCAGCAAATCGATTCAGTTGCTGTCCATTTCCAAGCTCTATTTCAAGAAAACGAAGACTGATAAAAATCCGAGATACTGGGGTAAACAACACAGTTCTTTTCTCTTCGTCATTATTGGTTGGAATATCACACCGTTCTACCGTCTTACCGTAGAAATACATAATTATTAGTAGCTCCCCAACGATCACAACACATGCACCTGTTGAACCAGAAAAGCTGTCGAATATGGTAAACCAAAAAAATCCGCTCTGTAAGAACAGATTACGGGTAAACTCAACTAAAACTGCACGAATTATGCTAATCGATTTCCAAAGTTTGTCTCACCTTCGCTCTGCAGATTCCAAACACAGTTTCGCAGTTTTATAAAGGGATTTTCAAAACGTTCTTACATAGCGGTAAAGGCAAAATTTCTTTAGAAAGCATTCAAATTACTGAGCTTTCGCCACTACCGCTATTTCGTTGTCTCAATCAATGGCAGTGCCATGGAGAAAACAGTCGGCCATGATCTTAATGTGGTTCTCCCTGAATCACACGACGTATTCGGCTAAGCTAATTAGCTCAAAGATATTTCTCCATGCACATAAAGGATAAGGGGTAAAGCCTTCGGCGTTGATCAATCCCTGAGGAATGCGCCATGAATTCCACTTCATTAAGCATCGTTTGGAGGTGATGGAATGCATATCTGGCCTTTTACAGTGACTCGCGACCGCCTATCGATGTATCGAACCAGTGCTATCCTTCCAGAAAAGTCCGGTACCAATTTGCCGACCTCGGAGTGATGAAGGACTTGGTGGACCCAGGTGCGAGGATCGATACCACGTCTGTGTTGCAGGGTGCCTCCGACCATTGCGCCAGACGCGCCCATTTCCATACACATATATTTTCAAATCTGGACGAAGCCTAATAAAGGCCAACAGTGGCCTTAACACTTATCAAACAGGGTAATAAGTGGGCTAACCTCAGTAGTGAATAAAATGCCACAAATGAAAGATACGGCGCAGCATACTAACGATATAAGCCATTTATATCTTCGAGTGGATGGCCATTGATCAGAGACACTTGTGCCAAATGTCTCAGTGAGTGCTAAAATAAATTGTATTGAACAAGGTCTATTAACATTCCCTGAAGGCGTGTTCTGCACCAAATAGATCGACAAAGGACCTTTTTTGACTTTACATGATTCAGCATAAAGTATCGTGCTCATCCCAGCACTTCTCGCGGCCATTATCCACGAGTGTTTTCATATTTACGCTTGGATTCAGCTGCTGTTTGAGGATGTGTTTTTTTATATAAATGTCTTTGGAAGCTGGTCAAGAAAATTTTTCACGGAATCTTAAAATAGCCGTGCTATGGGGTGCGCGAAAAATCATTGCCGCCTTCGGCGGATTCCACAGGCTAATCTGGCCCTGTACCCCAATCTCGGAGGGAAGGGAAGCCTGGTGAGCCTGCAACAGGGTCGTACCTGGGCTATAGGTGTATTGAACGGCACCACTACGAATGCGCATATGCGAATGAATGAATGCGAATGACCTGAAGAATGTTTGTTCGGAGTGAATATTCCCTTATTGTCGTTTTCTACATGAAATTTTTTTCTTGATATTGTGTAGAAGGATTGAACATATAAGATTAAATGAGGCAGTGATGGGTAGAATAATAGTAGCATTCTGAGTTGAATAACGATCATGTGGAAACGTATTTCTTGTGGGGAAGTTCTTGAAACTACCTACAGTATACGTAAAAATGCGGAATATAATCTTTGATAAGTTTTCATTCATGCACCTACCAACTTGTGAACTGATGCCTAGGAGGAACAGCATCATGAAGAAACATACGGACCAAACTGATGGATACGGCATTGTTGATATCGCCTCAGGGTAAGCTACAAAGGCTAAAGAATGCCCTGAAAATTCGGGAATAAACAAATATGCACAAGTCACATGGTGCATTGTAGAACTCCACTTATTCACAGGAATTGGTAACAACAGTAACATGCATGCTCCTATAGGTTACCCAAAATCAGGGTTTCATCGCAACCATAAATTGTTGTAACATACTGTCTATGATGTCTATGATTTTGCAACACTTTATTCAAAGGTGGAATTTTACAAGAAATCGGTGACTATCAGCCCGATAATTCTGGAATCGGAACTAACACAATAAGCATATGCATCACGAACCGCTAGAAACCACTTCCTCGATAGGTTTTTTAAGCTGATGAGAAAGATAACCAAGAGTAGCAAACACGGTTGCTCCACCAAACACACTCATCAGGAAGTCACCAATGACAACAATCCACGCATCCTAGATGTGGCTTAACAAATCTTTTTTAGATATCACTGAAGTTAGTAGTAAGTCAATGGATAATGGGTGCCATATCGCTACACCCACAGCTACTTGAACACCGAATGCTAAAGGGTGGTTAGTTGATCAGGGAAACATTAGTAATCATTCCTAAAGTTTTTTCTACTACATAGCACATCATAAAACGTTTGCTGCTACTGGAATGGCATCATTCAAACCTTAAAACAGTTGTTGCTTTTTCTGCTGTACGAGGCAAGCATAAGAACGCCACCATAGCCGACATTTAGAGAGAAGCATATCTGGATAAGTGCTGCCGACCATGTCTGCAGCACCAGAAAAACATATTCAGTGGTTAAATTTTTAATGTTTGCCAGTAGTGGGAACATTTTGTGAGATTGTCATCTTCGAAATTTCGAGCTGTCGAGTGAGTTCAGCAAATTTCAGCAGAGAACTCTCTACCATGTTATTCAAAAAGTTGATATTTAAGACGAGTTTACTGCTCGTTACGTTACGCCGACATGAAAAAGAACTACACAAAAATGCACAAAAAACCTGGTGATTAAGAAGCTTTGAAAAGTCTGGTTTTCCCCAGTAATAATATAATCCATTGGTGGAACCTTCTAGTGTTACTGCACGCAAGAAGAGAATGACAATGATAATATACGGAGCTGTAGCGGTGAACTGAAGAATATAAATAAATTTCAGGTTAAATCCACCTCATTGAAAACCAAGAAGTTCTTACGTAAGCAGCTTTCCCCATGTACTTGTAACCTTTTATCAAAATAAGGAATAAGAGCAGCCACATAAGGGCCAATGTAATCAACGAAGACGAATTTATCCCGCCAATATACTCGATTCCTTGGGATCTTTTTGTGACGACATTTCTGAAAAGTAATCTTTGGTGAAAATAAACACTCCGGAACATAAACTTGGCTATCAGCTGGAGGGTACTTGACATCGAGATTTGCCTTCTACATTGACCTTGAGTGGTCGGTCATTTTTCCCATTTCCACTTTCATTTCTGATCTCGGTTTTGACATCGTCTCCGAATCAACTAGTAAGAAGACTGAGTGGAGGATTCGTTGTCGGAAAGATACTTCCCTCGGATCAATATCGTTGTGGAAACCTGGATAAGCTCTTGAAAGATCAAGTCAGGACTCTAGGTAGAGATCCAGTTGCTCAACCAGCAATAGGCGAGCCTTAGTACCTAGCATACTGGGTGCTCCCGTTCTACGTCGTCAGGCGGTGAGACGACCGGTAAGAGGCCACAAAATTTCGGGTTACGTATGACGTTATTGGAACCGGATCTGACGAACACACGCACGACGCGCCATTGATTGTTGCTTACTCTGCAGGTATAGTGCCAGAACACTTCCCACAGAGGCCGATCTACCCGGCCTTCTTAAAGCCGCAATTTCATGGTGAGTCGCACCGCAACGAAGAAGAATTAGGAAAACCGACATAGTCAGTTAAACAAGTGCACCCTTGTCACCCGCGGAGAAGAGGTCTCGTCACAAAATTTCGGCGGCGTAGGCTTTGTTGTCCACTCTACTGTAAATCTCTTCGACTCGTATGACTATGTCGACCCCTTTCCCATCGCATGGCCATCCTCCGTCTTCAACTGGCTCGTCATAAGAAGATCATAATCATTAACTGCTACTCATCGACCAATGCAGCTGATAAGTACGAATTGGATGCGTTCTACAGTCAATTGGGCGAAGTTGTTCGCAATGATGAAGCATATCATAAATTTGCTGTCGGAGACTTCAACTCCAGAGTAGGAAAGCCCAGCGAGAGCGGATATAGGATCGGAAATTTTGAATTAGGAAAAAGAAATGACAATGGGAACCGTCTCGCAAGAATCTCTGCAGCACGTCTCGCAGGAATTTCTGCAGCCCGTCTCCTTCATAGAAACTCGTTTTTCCAAAGGAAAGAAAGCCGCCCCTAGACACGTGAGTCTCCTAGCGGGACGACTCATGCAAAAATCGACCATATTCTGACAAACAGAAGACAGTGCCTACTTAACACATCTGTAGTCATTCTGTACAGGTTCCGATCAGCGTCTCCTTCACGCGAAGATTCGATTCAGCCGTAAGCTAGAAAAGAATTCATGTCATCGACAACGTGGAAAAAGTCGAGCTGCACATGACGAAGATATTCTGAACGAAATCCTATCCCAACGTGAATGGCAGACTAAAGAATACCCGACCGAAGACTACGAGCTGCTTGTAGAAGGGCTGAAAAGCTGTGCCGAATTCGCCTCAGCTGCTCAACCAAGAAGATCAGACCGCATATCTATTACCAGTGAGGAGTTGCACGAGAAGCGAAGGAAACTGAAGTTTGGTCCTACTTCAACACGGTTAACAAGGGTAGTAATAAATAGCAGTTAGAGAAGATCTTCGAAGGAAAACCTACATCGGGACAGACAACAGAAACTACTGGAGGGAGCAGGGAAAAAAAGCATTATGAAAAAAAAAATATAGTAGGGGCTTGGGTGATTATAATGTTTCTCTGCTAGCTTTGATGAAAGACGATCGCCAAAACTTTCTGCCATGATATAGAATTAATAATGGAAACCTTCCGCGCCCGGAATTCCTCCGTCAGAGATTCGACTTGCGATAAAAATCACGAAAAGAGACACAGCTCTAGGACAGGATGGTATCACTACCCACTTCATTGAAGCTGGAAACCACAATTTACATATCGTTCTCGCAAACCATATGACGACCCATCTTCAAAAAAATTCTAGCCCTCTGGAGAACGTTGGGGACGGTCATCTGTTTCAAGAAAGGCGATCGAAGGAATTTTTTAAACCATCGTTCGATATGCTTATTGAGTGTATTCTATAAGCTCTTCACGAAGATTATCCTATCACGCATGTAAAAGGGCATTGGATGAGGCGCAACCAGTGGAGGAAGCAGGATTTCGACGAAGATTTTGCTGCATGGACCACATCTAAGCTGTGTCCAGGGTCACTGAAGTTTGTCGAGAATACCAGCTGCCCGTAGTCCTAACTTTGTCGATAATGAAAAAGCGTTCGACAGCTTCAAAATGGATGTAATCCTGTCAGCGCTAGTCGAGCAAAGAGTGGATCCGCCTTATATGAGAACTCTGTCTGGTTGTTATCCGAATTGCACTACAGAAATACTGTTTCCATCCACCTCTTAGCGTACCCATAGGAAAAACCGCCAAGACTGCTTAGTGCCGCAATGCAGTGGATAACAGAATCACTCGATCGAGTTGGGACAGGGCCACCGTATTGATGAAAAATTCCTTTCAGATATTCTTTTTGCGAATGACATTGTTATTTTTCCAAAGAATATCAGCGAGGCAGAGACGATGATCAATGAACTCAACAAAGGAGGAAAAAGATCGGATTACGCATAAACTGGAAGAAGACCCAGTTCATGAAAAACCCATGGTGCAACGGCGAAAAAATTGAACTAGATGGCTCTCTCATTGCAGGGACCACCTCGTACGTTTATCTTGGGCGATCAGTGAATGTGGAAAATAATATAAAGGAGGAATTAAATAGAAGAAGGAGAACAGCTCAGTCTGCTTCGGGCCTCAAAGAAAAGCTAACGACCAACTGAAAAATCCGGAAATCCGCGCTCTCCTTTTTAGTTCGATAAGAATCCTTAAAGCGTTCTGTCACCAGCAGAGACGTGAGTGGTGGCGCAACCACGTTGAGAAAACCGCTCACTACTCACAGAGCCCTTGAACGATGTCTTCCGAAATATAACCAGCGCTCGCAATATTGAGCCAGAATGCGAAACTCTGGTCTTCGAAATCTGTACATCTTCGGGATACAGTATAATATGCATCGAAAGCGAAAGACAAATTGGCCGGTAACATAGTGATAAGAACGGACGACAGATGGACGAAAAAAGCTGTAGAGTGGACTCCACGAAGAAGCAGGCGTCTCTAAGGACGGCCACCTACACGTTAAGTGGACGTGTTCTTAACCAAAGTTAGTCGGCTGTATTCGCAGCCACGTTTGTTTCACAGATCGCGGTATGAGACTCGCACACTCCACCATGCTTAAAGAAAACCAGCACTATGGACGATGATTGAGAAGGAATGAAACGAATGGCAAATATGCTGGGGTCCGCACAAGTCGTGAAGGGAGACCGTCGAATATCTACGTAGGTAAGTAGTTGATGCCTAGATTAGAAATTCGCTGAGAAGCAACAAAAATTTAAGCCGGAAAACGATGCAGATCTTTTGCACGGTTAAAAACCTGCCACAGTATCAAAACAATACGGTTACTGAAAATGTCAGAAATGGTTTCTGCTGAGACAAACAAAATTGATGTCCATATTTATATCTGCTATAGTCTTAAGAAAAAAAATAACCTACGTGAAATACTGATCGAAAGGAGTTCTCATCGGTCCGGGCACTGTGGCAATGCAGGTCCCATTGAAGGCAACGGGACGGCTAGGGTCTTGCTGTTTGCACTCGTCCATTTTATTTCTTACTATGCAATCTGAGCAATGAAATAGTTATTTCGCTCTTTCTGCGTTTAAACCGCGCCAAGAATCAGAGCCATCTAAATGGTTTGAAGCATTGACTCACATATATCATTCCACTCATTATCACAACTTGACCATACATGTATTCCACCGGTAAAGGAGGACAGTAAATACAGAAAGGCCCATGTAATTATCAGGCAATAGTAAAAGGTAAGAGTATATGATATAAGTGCCATGGACCAACCGATTCCTAAAACAGTCTACGACAGGTTGCGAAAATGAGCAGAACTGGCAATGAACATTAGTGAACACACTTTTCACCTATGGTGAAGAAGATGCTCGACTACATATACCTTGTAAGGCCGGCATGTAGTGTTTGAAGGCCATCGACGGACCACTGCTCGTGTACTGGCCGATGACCATTTCAAGGAACAACGTTGGTAACCCAAATAATATTACCAATATGATATACGGAAAAAGAAATGCACCTTAAAGGAGTACACATAAATATGCGTCGAAACGCAAAAAATCGCACGGGTTTGCCCTTCTATTCATTTATCTCGCTTACTTCCACCGTTTTCATAAGCCAGTGCTGAGAATCGCCATATGTTTCCAAGACCGACGGCTAGACCAAGAGTAGCCAGAACAAATTCGCATTTGTTACCCCATTTCCCTCTGTCTTTTGCCTCTTTGTGTACTGGTCCTAAATCTTCTTCATCAATAAGGTATAAATATATAGCATAGGAAAAAAAAAGACGAGCTTAGTCTTTATTTCTACATTAGCGCAGAATGAGTAATTTCATAGAGTTTATCAACTAACCTTGTTCAGTAGTACTCTGGGACGTGGACCTGAAAATAAGCCAGGCTTTCAACTAAAAATTTATAACAGCCAAATTGAAGTGAGAGATGTTATACTTTTTTATTTTCTGCCCACTATAATTTCGCGGCAGGGTACTAAGTGAAATACAACCACAGCGTTGCTGAGATATTTGCAAAACTCTGGACCGCAGGTGTCTATGGTGGGGAACGAACGCGCTATTGT